CTAAACAAAACAGCACAAAAAAACCACACACAAAACAAACAAAGACAAAACTTCAAGCATCTTGTATAACAACTTAGATTCATTCGTTCAGTCAAGTATGCTGAGCTGTTCCTCCTTGAGCCCCGTGATATGCTTTGGGGACTGAGACTTAAAAGATGGAACCGCTCTCTAACGAAAAACCCATAATAATAAAACTGAGGAAAGAAAGCAAGCAGGCAAATACTGTAAAAGCACGCAATGCTTCCATGGGGGCCACAGATATGGCTCCCATAGAAGCCAACCTTCTAGAGAAACTGTGAAAGAGAAAGGAAGATAGAAGCGGGAGGTGAGGATAAAGAAAGGTTGGTAAAGGTGGCGCGTACTTTAGCTGACCCGTGACAACCTGTCGTCAAGAGTCTGCCGGAGGTGAGAGCAATGGCGGACAAGTGGGGTTGGATTGTGCACATTCGGACACAGATACCCGAGAACCCTTTGCCTGCTTGGGGAACTGTAGATCACAGGGCTGTAGCTGGACATAGAAGAAATGTTTCAGAAGCTGAAAAAAATAAGCAAAGTTTTGATCATTGAAGGTCTTCTTTGCTCAGTAAAGAAGGCTGGGCCTGGGGCTGGAGTGACGGCTCAGCCGTGAAGAGCGCTGACGGCTCTTACAGAGGACTCAGGTACCGTTCCCAGAGCCCACGCGGAAGCTCATTGCTTTCTGTAACTCCAGTTCCAAGGTATCCAACTTCCCTCTTCTGGGTTCTACAGGCATCAGGCATGTACGTGGTGCACAGACATACACGCAGACAGAACACCCATACACGTAAAATAAATAAATAAAATATTAAAAAAGAAGATGACTGGATCTTGCAGTAAGGGCAAAGGAAGCCATTCAAGGAGCCTGAACAAACTCTGTTCTAGAAAAATGGCTCTGTGGGCGGGGCAGATGGTTCTCTGGGTAAGAATGTTAGCTATACAAAGAGAACCCAAGTTCGGATCCTGAGTACCCATGTAAAAACCATGGCATAGCTGCACATGTATGCAGCCCCGGTATTTGAGGGGAGGGGGAGAGAGACAGAGATAGCAATGCAAAAGTAACTAAGATGGAGGAGAAGGAATCCGAGGTGGTTTGGGTGCAAACCATCCCAGACACTGTGGCTTATTTGGGACCGTTTAGGTAAGGCCTGCATGAAATAATTAACTTCTGCTCAATCTACTGTTAGCTATGTTTTCTTGACTGAGACCGGAGGATCCTCTTCTAAGAATGCACCCTCTCTAGGCGACGGTGGTGGCAAATAATACCAGCACTCGGGAGGCAGAGGCAGGAGGATCCCTGTGTGTTCGAGGCCAGCCTGATCTACAGAGGGAGAGTTCCAGGACAGGCTCCAAAGGTACAGACAAACTCTGTCTCAAAAAATCAAAACAAAAGAGGAAGGCATTCTCACACTCCTACTGAGTAGTGACTGAGCGGGCTGGCAAGGATAAGTGGATAAAAGAAAGACCAAATCACCACCATTCCTAACTCATGGGGAGCTGTCACGACTCATCCTCAGACCTTCAATGTGCGTGCAGGCGGCCGAACCACTTTCTTTAACTCTAGGCTCTATTGTTTTGCAGCCTTGGCCCTGTAGGATGAGGAACCACCACATCAGGAAGCATTCGGTCCTCACCGGGAGACTGGTCTCTTCTGATAAAGTTGAGCCAACTGGAGTCCTGGAAGGAGACGCATGGAGTCCTAACCTGGTGCTCAGAAGCTTGACATTTAAAGTCCTTTTTTATTTATCTACCCCCCCGCTCAACAAACACGCCCACCTTCACTTTGCCTGGTAGTGTATCTGATGAGGCTTTGTGGTACTGAAGTTTAATGTCATTTCGGAACGATGCTTGCTGTATGCCTCATGACCTGGGCCTACCTTGAACCCAACTTGTTTCGTTTTGTTTTCGATTTTTGGAGACAGGGTTCCCCTGTGTAGCCCTGGCTATTCTGGAACTCGCTCTGTAGACCGGGCTGGCCTCGAACTCACAGAGCTCTGTGTCTGCCTCTGCCTCTGAAGTTCTGGGTTTAAAGCTGTGTGCCACCACCGCCCACCTTTGAACCCAACGTGTGTCTGGCCGTTTGCCTTCACATTCGTCAGACTTTGTCTCCTGCAAGTGTCAGAGTTCCTCTGAAGCACCAAATCCTACTGGCTCAAATCTGGAGAGCTGGGACTTCCGGGACACTTCCTTCGACTGGATGCTGTAATCTGTGAATTCCTGAACACATACTGTTTTTGACCTTGAAGTCTCTGCCCAGTTCTCTCTGTACACTGCCATTCTGGCAGCTTCCTGGATCTGTCTGGCAGATAATATTCTACTTCTCAGCCTTCCTTAATTTGGCCTGTTTCCTTGGCTAATCCTGGAGTCACATATGTTTGAGCCATGAATGCTCCCAGTCAGCACTGTTTCCTGCCTTGCCACATAAGGACGATATCTTGTCCTTATGTGGGGCCAGGAGGACGTGGGGAGGTGCATAAACAGAGTGTCTGGCTCTCAAGGCATGCGGAATATAGAGAAAGAGCCAGACCAGAGCTCCTCACACACACAGTGGTGGGCAGAAAAGCAGGATGGGAGAATCCCAGGAGCACCATGGAAGACTCATAGCAGGACCATCAAGCAGGACCACAAGCAGGACCGTCCACATCAGTGTGGCACTCCTCACCGACTCCTGGGGACAGGCATCATTCCATTGGCTGTGTTGACCAGTCTAGAATTGGTTTTCATCTTCCCTTGCTCTGGCTCCTTAAGAGTCTGCTCTCCTTTTTACCCGAGATGGGCCTTTGGTTTGCATTTTATTGCCAAACACAGAGGAAGGGATCCAGAGTTGAGTAAGAATGCATTCTGTGTTGACTAGGTTGACCTGCTCCAGAGTTCACAGATCTGGGATTTGGGCTGAGACCGCGAAAGAGTGGCAGTTATGACCAGAAGGGTCACACTTAAGATCGCAACAACAAACTGGGTGTGACAACCCTATAGGCAGCAAGAGGACAGAAATGGGAGACCACACAGCAAAACTTGTGCCCCGGAGGTGTGACGGCAGGACTGGACAAGGGAGAGTAACTGTTCTGGAATGTCACCGATAATGGGAAACAGACTTTGCAAGCCTGCATTGTGCTCCTTGAGGAGTGTTCTATGCAAATCAAAGAAAGGGGATGTGACTTTGCAAGATGTTTGGCTTAAATCTCTCTCTCTTTCTCCCTTTCTCTCTCTGTGTGTATTATTTATCTGTGTATCTATTGTACAGTATATTGAACATAGAAGATGTGTTAGCCTTTTGCCACTGTGACAAAATATATGAGAAAAAATAATAAGGAAGGATATATTTTAACTCATGGTTAAACCTCTCAACCGTGGTTCTGTGGTCTGTAGTCACTTGACTCCATTGATTCTGAGCTGCCATAGGGCACAGCTTCATGATGGTGTTGGTAGAGAAAAACCTCAGGATAAACAGGAAGGAAGAGGGAAAAGGGGAGCAGATATGGTCCCCAAGGTCATGCTCAAGTCATTCCCGGCCTCCAACCAGGGTGCCCTTTCTGTAGTTTCCACTCACCTCTCCTCAATGGTCGTTCAATTATAGACTCATCAAAACCGGGACTAGTGGAGCATGTCTGGAATCCCAACACTCAGAAGGTAGAGGCAAAAAGGCCACAGGTTCAAGGTCATCCTAGGCAGCTTGAGGCCCCGAGACTACACCTCAAAACAGATAAACTAACAGCAACAACCCATTCACGAACCTATCAGTGGACTGATCCATTGGTAATATCAGGTCCCTCCTGAACTAGCAGGGACTCAAACTAGTCCCTCTGAATGTGGTTGACAGTTGGGGCAGACTGAGGGGCCACTGACAGGGGCACTGGGATTTGTTTCTACTGCATGTACTGGCGTTTTGGGATCCTATTCTCTTTGGATGTATACCTTGCTCAGCCTGGATGTAGTAGGGAGGGCCTTAGACTTGCCACGGGGCAGGGTGCCTCATCCTCTCTTAGGATTGAAGGGGAGAGGTATGTGGGGAAGGAGTGGGAGAAGGGGAGGGAGTGCGAATTTGGATTGATATTTTTTTAAAGTAATAAAGTAATAATAATTTAAAAACATATAAAAAGATCAGGTTCCTCATGATTCAATCACACTCCAAAGCCCGCCACCAGTTACAAAGCTTTTAGCTTGGGGGGGACATTTTGGATGTAAACCATAGCACCAAGCAAGTGCTCTTCTCATTGGTCTACACCTCATCCCAGTATTTATTTTATTTTTATTTATTAAATTTTTTCATTTATTATTGACCACAGTTTCCTCTCCCTCCTCTTCTCCCGTTCCCTCCCCTCTCCCATTTTCCATCTACCTCCTCCATCCATTCCTCCTCTGTCTGTAGATTGAAATCTCATGAAAGTAGACAGACACGAGTCACATGTAGACCTCAATATTCAGGCTAATGGGCTTCATTAGGGCTTCTTTTCATGACAGAAAGGAGACAGATCTAAGAAGCGATGATGTGTGCCAGTGATGAACTCAGAGCTTTGATAGGCAAAGATCAGGACCTAATGGCTTAGTTTTGGGTTCTAGGTGAAAACTTTTAACTGTTTTATTGAAGGCACTGGAGCTGTAGAAGTGGCCCTCACTACCTTGTAAGAACATTCTGGCTTCCCATCTTCTGAAGAGTCTGGAGTAAGACAGCATCTTTCGGGGAAAGTGTTTGTCTTTGGGATCTGCCAGCATATCTATTGGTTACAAATCCACAATCAGGGTCAAATGTCAATGCAACCTGCTAAGAGAGGAAGAGCTGACACCGAGCTTCTCAGACTGTGGCTACCATGCTCTGGAGCTGGTGAGTATGCTTGATTGATACACATGCCAGTGTTGGAGCCAAGTGTTGGAATGTAAAAGTAGAGGAAGACTGGCTTAGCCTCCCAGTAGGAGTTCCAGGACATGGGTCTAGAACTCTGTTTGTATAACTCTGTGACCTAAGACAATGCCATGGATTACCTGAAGTGAAGATAGAACTTTCCAGGCTTCTCAGAAAAGAACAAAGGGTTCAGAGAAATAGAGAATCGAACAAAGGCCTCTCTGTGAGAGCAGCTGACGAGCCTTGAGAAGATACTTCATTTATCAAGGAGGTAAGGATGCGCTGGTGAGGGTACCAGGGCCATCAGGAAACTCGGTGTACTGTTGCCTAGGTCCAGTCTGACATGAGATGATGTCATAGAACTAATCTATTTAGCAGCACTGAGGGTAAGAGGCTCATAAAACATCAGGCCAGGAGGCAGGAGAGATGGCTACTCCTCTAAAGGGCTGGGATTTAATTCCCAGCACTCACATTGGGTGACTCACAACCACCGATAACTTCACCTCTGGGGGATCTTACATTCTTTTCTGGCCTCCTTAAGGTGCTTCCACACATATGTAAGCATATATTCTCACATACATACATGCATACATACAAATCTTTACCATCTTACATTGAGCCATGGGTCCTGCCAACTCCAGAAACATTCTTCTCCCGATCCTGGCTCCCTCCAGCCCCAGGTGTCATTGCCTTAGTTCTAGAATATATAATACATAAATTGACCACACCAGTTAGCTGACAGAGTCCTGCCATCGGTTTTGTGAATAAGAATTTCTTGAATCCTAAAGTAATGCTTAGGCAGGAAAAAAAACCACATGGGCCAGCAAGATGCTCAGCGGGGAAAGACACTTGTGGCCAAGATTGATGGAGTTAGCTCTGGACTCAAGTGGTGAATGAAACAACTCTGGCAAGTTGTCCTCTGACTTCCACATTAGTGTGGTGGTTTACACACAGACACACACACACGCACGCACACATGCACGCACACAGGCACACATGCACGCACATACAAGAAAAACAGAAATTAAACCAACAGAAAAGAAAGAGACATATGGATGCTCCTAACACGATTCCCACTGACTGAGATAGCTGGGATTAGTGACACCCTTCAGAATTTATGGAGTTCAGAGATGAGCTCCTCATAATCCCATTTAATTTACCTCTCTAGCTCCTGCAAAGTCAAAATAGGAATGGATCGTGCGGCACATGGCAGCGGACAGTCACAAACGCCATCAATATCATACCAGATTTAGCTGCTGTTCTGGCTCTGATGTCTTTATCAGAACAGATTAACCCAGACCTGGCATGTGATAGGCAGTTACTGATCTGGAACCCGATCAAGGGGAGAATCTGTTAGGCGGTGACCTATAGTACACGTCCACTGTCTCACGCCATTACAGTGCCTCATATGCTACGGTGCTGTTATTGTGTCTCCTGCTCCCAAGATGTTAGGAAGTGTTTACTGGCTTGTCACAGTGTTCTGCATGCTATGGACTATAATCCTTGAAGATATGATGAGTGCTTTGGCTGCACTGTGTGTTCACTGCCCTGCAGGATGCTAAGCCAACGCTCATGTCAAGTCAAAGCTGCAAGACGGAGAGTTTGGACTTGAGATCGAGCAAATGTTTTCCCATGACAGTATTGGCAGAAAGTCCCTGCCAGTCACAGAAGGGTCGTTATGGATGACAGTGACTTCATCAAAGTTGTCTAAAGACTGAAATTTTGTGCGGCCATTTCTTCTCTAAGTTACCAGCATTCCTCATCTTAGAAAAGCAGGCTCTACTCACTGTCCTTTTCCTCGTACAGAGAACATGCAGTGTGGCAGCTCGGTTATGTTGACATATTCCATGACTTTGTTCAGCTCTCACTGAGAGCCATGGTGTCCTCTGTCCACCACTTGCCCTGTAACTAAGACGGTGGATGCATTAGCTTTGAGGCGTACCTTTTATTTCCTATTTATAGCAGCGTTAGGGATCACATCCAAGGCCTTCTGCCAGGCAGGCAGGCGTTCTACCACTGAGCCATAGCTCCAGTCCTCAGTACACCCCTTTGGAATCCTAGTATGTATGTCTTCTGGTACAAACACATCTGGTATTGTATCAGCTTTGCTACCCATGGTCATAAGACCATTCAGCTTTCCAAATGATCCTTAACGAAACAAAAAAAAATTGGCTGTATTATATAACGTGGCTCTTTAGATATAAATAAATTTGAAACCTACACAGTCGTTTTCTTGAGATGTCCTGGACACACACAAGGAGATGATTCTTGCCCTGTGCCTTAGCTCTCCTTTTCTCCCACAGAGAAGAGAAAGATCTGCCGTGGCAGAACATGGAAGTCATTACTCTGCTTCATTGTTGATCCACTATGTTGGTCACCCAGTGGCTTCTGATACAGATATTTTCCCCCCAAATTGTTCTCTTTCTGCTTCTAGCATGTAATGTCAGTCATGAACTTCAGGGCTGGCTTCATTCTTCGTTTAAAATAAATTGTATTTATTAGTGTTGTTTGTTGTTGTTGTTGTTGTGTGTGTGTGTGTGTGTGTGTGTGTGTGTATGATGAGCATATGTGGGCTCTCACACCACAGTACATATGTGGGAATTAGAGAGCAACCTTATGGAGTCAATTCTCCCCTTCCATCTTCATGTGAGTTCTGTTCAGGAACACTAGCCCAGGTCACCAGGCTTGCACTGTAAGTGATTTTACCCTCTCATCCAGCTCACAGACCCTGGCTTTATGTTTGATTTTGTTTATTCTTTTTGTTATTGTTTGCTTAAGTAGTATTTCTGTGAACTCATGCTGCCTTTAAAAAATATTCATTCATCTCTTAAAAAATTGAATGTTTTTTCTGTACGTATGCATGCACATTGAGTGCATTCCCATTACCCTCGGAGGCCAGGAGAAGGTGCTGGATGCCCTGGAGCTGGAGTTCCAGGCCTTTGTAAGCCTCCACAAACGTGCTAGACCTCAAGCCTGGGTCCTTTGGAAGAGCAAATGCTTTTAACCACTTAGCTATCTCTCCAACCCTGGTTTTAAATTGCCATCACCCTGACCCTGTGACCGGTATTTCTGCTCCCTTCCTTTCCACAGGACAATTGATTATTTTCCTACGTAAAAAACAACACTTAGGTTTTACCTTTGAAAACTTCCTCTGGGTATCAGAAAGGCCACCTAGTTTGTATGAACACGATGCAGACACTTGGGTGGTTTTGTGTCAATATGTGACAAAATTTTGATCCAGATAATACACTGAAGAAAAAAAAGTGAAGGACCACTTGGATGAAATCTAATTTTCAGATCGTCATTATCCTGCAGCCTCTTCTTACTGGCCTTCTCGGTGTACCTGTGAAGTCATCGCCACCACAGATGCATTTGCCCCAGCATGCAAGAATCCACATCCTGTATGTGTGCGAGAGTCTTGTTGATTACCTGCACGGAGGGTGCTATTCTGAAATCAATATGGATGGGATGCTTTCATTACTGTTTTTATGCTCCAATAGACCATCTTGGGCCCCCAACTTACTTTTCTGAAATGAAGGTAAAACTTAAGGCAAGGAGGGGAGTGGAAAAAAATGTATAGCATAATAAAAAAACAACAAAAAGTGTAAGGCAAGAAGAAAAATAAAAAAGTATATGTAATAAATTGTATCATGTACACTAATTGAAAGTATGTAAGCCAAAATTTGTATACCGTATTTATTGGATATTAATATCCATCAAATGATCAACAGAGCTTATCGGTACAAGCAAAACCTAATCAATTTTAGGCATTTCTCTGAAAATGGCAACTTTTCTTTTCTTTTTAACTTTATGTTCTGCAGACAGGCTAACAAACTTATAGACACCTGCTGAAGTTGCCTGCAGCCTGGTAGAATTCTGAAGTGACTCCTGGTCTGAATTACAGACTGTCCTGTGGTTTCTGTCACCTCCAGAAGATATCAAGGTTGAGTACCTTTAATCCAAAGATTAAAAATTGGACATGCTCCAAAACCTGAACTATTTTGAGTTCCAACATGATGATGCCCCAGGTGGAAGATCCTACTGTAAGGAAGTTTTCTACATTCAATGGTTAAAAACACTCTATAAAATTATCCTCATGCTATGTCCAAGAGGTGAAAATGAAACATAAATTAATTTGGGTTTTATACTTTGTTTTCATTCTGCAAAAATCTCATTAGATACATCAGTGTTCCCAAATCAAAAAAACACCCCAAATCTGAACGTCTTCTATTATTCAGATTGTATAAATTCTATAAATAGTATTCCAACTATATAAATATTTGTCTAGAATTTCTAGAAGCTTTTTCTTTAATGATTACATTCTCTAGATTTTATTTTAACATACTATTCAAAGATAACGCTTTCCCCCCAAAATGACTATAATTAGCATTATTTTTGAATAATTTGATGTTCTTCATTTATCTGAACATCAGCTTTCTCATGCACACGATCTTCTCTGTCTACAGTACATTTTTGAAGAATCCTTTAAATCAGCACTGGATTATGTCAGTTCTAGTTCCTGTCTTGTGTCTCCATTTTCAGAGTTTCAGACTGACCATCCTTCCCCAAGACATGGATATAATTGTGAGCTAGCTTTGACACTCGAAGTTTTGGAGTAAGTGAGAAACACATCACGTAATAGCTGTATATTCTCTCTCTCTCTTTTCCCCCTCTCCCACTTCCTATTGTATTGGGGCTCAGACCTGGGTACTTATGCATGGGAGGTGAGGGCTCTACCTGTGGACCATATCCCCAACCCCAGGAAGGTATAATAAAGCAGAAAGCCTTTTCTCATCTCTGATACCTCAGGCATTGGCAGCACTACCAGCAGGAAACCTTGTAAGAACATATTGTGACTAAGTTTTCCTCGTTACGATGCCGCATTGAGGAGACTACCATCCATTAATGCAACAGGCCACAATTTTCCTCTAAATGGACCGTGAAGATACTGCAGTTATCTGAAGACCTAAGCCAAAGCAATTTGGATTTCATCTTTAGGTCTTTAATGTTGTTGGTTGAAAAGTAAAATTTGGCTTGGCCCTTCAGTTTCCTTTGTTTCCACGGTTCTAAGTCAAAGTGTTTCTCATATGCCACTTTTTTTTTCTCCCTGAATTAACTAAGACAGAAGGTTCAGCCTGGGTACCAGGAGGGCAGAACTTTCAAGTAGCCTCTTTATTTAATAGAACAAAACAAAGCATGCTCAAAGACTCCTGCGGGCCTTGCTAAGAGTTTGCATCTTCCGCACATAGATCTCCCGTGCAAACATCCTTGAATCCAGATGGCTCACAAAGCATCTTGTGATTAAGTGATCTGGAGCAAAGGACCCATCGGTAGCCTGGGACTGTTAGCGGTTAAATATGGATGGCTTCCATAATTAGGATTCACTAGATGAGAACAGAGTGGGTACTGTTGTTTGTACTTGTGCCAGGGCAGGTTCTTCTCTGGACTCCAAGAGATTTTTAAAAATGTTTTATTATATCTGTAATTAGCCTCGGTGAAGAAAGACTTCGTTAACGTCTACAATGATGCATTGAAGCTTTCGTCACAAACAAATACTCATGACCCCTGGCGCCTCACTGTAAACAAGGATAGTTACTAGCCTCATTAGGCAACTAGCAGATGGCTTATAAAGTCCTCATTGGAGCATCGGCCCATTGGTGGCTTGCAGCGTACACACGCTTGCCTTTAAAAGGCGTAGAATGGGTCAGACGTGGTCCGCATCCTGTTTTCATTAGCGTCGATGCGCTCCGATTTTAACAAGGTAAACATCTTCGATGAGCCTTGGTTTGCTGACTCTACTTGAACTGATTTTCAGGCTGTGGTCTTTCTGACTTCCTTCCAACAGAAGTCACCCCCTCTTTCGTCTTCTGCCTGTTCGGCGTGTATTTATGTCAAGGCCTAAGACGCACTGGCTGAAAGCTGTAGCTACCATGATGGATATGCCCTAACAGATGCTCAGTGGATGTCTGCTGAAGGATGGAAATCAAACTAAAGCGTAGCTTGATTGTATATAATGCTGCTGTCCAGTTAAGCAGTCTTTGCTGAAGACCATTAACAAGGCCAAGAACCATACAGTGTCTATTTTAAATTAAAAAGTGGTAAACATCCTGGCAAGTGTACTGCACCAGTTTAAGATTTCTCACAATAAAATCTGAGTAAGCCTGATAGGATAGCAGTGAATGTCATCAAAGATCTCCTTTGTAAAAATTTTATTATTATTATTTAATTGTGCGTGTGTGTGTGTGTGTGTGTGTGTATGAGAGTATGCACACTAGAGAAGGTGTCACTGGAGGCCAAACAGGACATCCCCTTAAAGCTGTAGTTACATGTAGCTGTGAGCCATCTGATGTGGGTGCTGGGACCCAAACTCAGGCTCCCTGCAAAACAAACACATGCTCTTAAGTGCAGGGCCATCTCTCCAACCCCAGCTGAGCTTTCCTGTGTACAAGATTTTACTACCTCACTTAGCTGGGTGGAGTCTGAGTATCTGGGGGGCAAGAGTCATTTTTCTCCTTTCTAGAAGGCTTAGAAGCATTCAAAGTGCTGGGCAGTGGTGGTGCACAGCTTTCATCCCAGCACTTGGGGAGCAGAGGCAGACAGAACTCTATGAGTTTGAGGTCAGCCTGGTCTACAAGAGTTTGTTCCAGGACAGGCTCCAAACCCACGGAAAAACCCTTTCTCGAAAAACCAAAACTAAAACTAAAACCAAAAAATCAAAACAAAAAAGAGAAACATTCATAGGTCTGAGTGCAGACTCCTTGCGGCTTGGTGGGTTAATTACAGACGCACAGGCGCCTCAACATTCCACACGCCAATAGTCATTTCTTCTTACTCAGCATCACTCGGGAAACCATATTTACTAACTAGTACTTACCACTTGGTTCTGCTTGGTTCAAATCTTGGCTCTGCCATTGAAAGCAGTGTGCCTTTGCCACACCCAGAAGTTGGAGGTATCTACCATACTGAAACTGAGCAGGCACATAGCTGGACATGAGGCCTCCAAGGACAATTACAGACAAATCTTGGGAGCTGTGTGTTCCGGTTAGGTAGGGAGGTAGATGTGACGGGACCATGGCAGCTGCAGCTGTATCCTGGTAACTGTGTCTCCTGAGGCTCAGAACACCCTTTTGTGGGATAAATACCCCTGAAGCTCACTTTGGCTCTTCCTGGTACATCAGGGAGCCTTCCCAGTTACACAGGTGTGAACTAACCAAAGGTCCTCATCCTCAAACAGCCCCAAGTTTATTGCAATACCGTGTGCACATGGTTTTGACCTTCCCTCTTTTTTTTTTTTTTTACAGACTTTCCAAGGGGATCATGGGAAGAAATATCTTAAAAGGGAGATTCAGTTCATTGTGATTGGAGAAGGGAAATGGTAATCTTTTTTATTTATTTATTTATTGTATATACAACATTCTTTCTGTGTGTATGCCTGAAGGTCAGAAGAGGGCACCAGACCTCATTACAGATGGTTGTGAGCCACCATGTGGTTGCTGAGAATTGAACTCAGGACCTTTGGAAGAGCAGGCAATGCTCTTAACCACTGAGCCATCTCTCCAGCCCGGGAAATGGTAATCTTACTCAAAGAATTTGTTACTCATTTCATAAGTATTCACCCCAAAACCCCACATCCCAGACCTGCCGAGCTACTCCCCCACTTTCAGGATAGTATACTCTACACACTCTCTTCTCTCCCCTTTGCTTTGCTCTGTGAAACAAACTTTTGCTGTAGCTATCTTAATCGCTCGGCGATCTTTCCATCAGGGAGAAAAGTGCCAAAGCGGAAGCCTTCACAGGGTAATACTACGAACCTCAACCTTTCCTCATAGGGATGGGGTGGAAATTGACTATGCTAAGCATTTCATAAGGGCTGTGATTATATAACTGACCGTTACTGTACCCAAACTGCCAAGGAGTCCGTCACGCTTCTGTGTGCTCAGTGCTGCATACAGTCGTTCATGCCGAACATTGCTATTATAGCTTCTGGTTTTCCGTTTGTTTGTTTTGAGACAGGGTCTGACCATGTGCAGCTCATGCTGGCCTCTAACACACAGTCTTCCTGCCTCTGCTTCCCGAGTGCTGGGATGACAGGTGTGCGCCCCCACACCTGATTTTTCTAAATGAGAAGATGGAAGTCTAGATTTTGTTTTTTTAAATGCGAGGTCTCGCACTGTTTGAATGTCACCACCTAATGGAAACTTTTGAAACTGCTGAGTGTGTGAAGGCCAAATCCATCCCAACACAGCCAGCTTTGTCCAGAGAACCACAGGAAAAACAGTAGAGACCAGAGAATGCAGCAGAGACGGCAGTCATCAGGGCTAATGGCTCTCAGAGAAGCTCAGTGTCTTCACAGGAGACTCCATCAATGACATTATTATTGTATAAGTTTAACCTGGTCTGCCTTGCGTGGGGCCCTCTGCTGTGTGACCGGCTGGTAAGAATCCTGCTTGGCGTCACATCGCTCACAACTTCTTCTTACAAGGATTTGTTCTGGTTGATTATTTATATCAAAGCAGCAAAAATAAATTGAATAATGAGGGCAACTTGCAAGATTTCCATTTGCAGAAACCGAGGCCCCTAAATCATGCACAGAGTTGTCACTCCGACTGCATAAACCAGCGCTCTAAGTGTCCTGGGAAATTTAAATGTTTATTAATTATTATTATTCCTATAAAGCTTCTACCAGTGTCTAGTGACTGTCATAACAGACTGTGGTTTTGTAAGACAAGGTTTGGTCCTTGGCTGACTTTACCAACTATTGAAGTTTGGTTGTGGGTCTGGCAGACCCTGCTGCAGAGTCCTTCCCAACCTGGCTGCTGAAATTAGTCTGACCTGGGTTCCCATCCTCCACGCTGCATCATGCCATTCTAGCTGACTGGGGATGTGTTCCAGACGATGTAAGGATGCTTAGGTAGAAGAATCTGAAAGGTCCCCCACAAGCTCACGCCTTACGTGACTTGTCCTCCGTGGCTGATGCTGTTTTTGGGAGGCCACGGATCTTTGAAAGGGTTGGTCTAGCTGAAGAAAGTAGGGCACTGGGCAGCAGGTTCTTAGGGGTGTGTTATCTCTGCCCATCTCCAGGCTGGGCTCTCTAATTCCTAGTCCTGTCTCTCTCATATACACCCACATCGACCATCAGGAGCCTGAGATGATCTCATCCAAAGGAGAAGGAACCAAAACCCGAAGACAAAATGTCTGAAAGGAATGAATTGGTGGTGTGGGTGGGGTGAAGAGCGGTGACTAAGCCCCAGGTGCTCCTTGCCTACTTGGGAGCAAGCTTGGTGATGTGGGAACCCACTAGCCACGTGCATGCTAGGGCTATGTATCTTGTGAACAACGGACAAGAGGTCCCGGCATCCTTTCTCTCCATCCTGCCCTGTTCTACCAGCACCAGTCTTTACCTCTTTGTGTTCATCCCAGTCCAGTCTCTTGTTCATTCTAAGGCTCCCATACTGTCACCTTCCGGATAGAGACAGCCCTGCAAGCAGGTTCCATTTGTTGTCTGGCCTGCAGGGCATGAATTAACTGGGAACATGCCAAGACCGGAGCCCAGCTGTTGAGGAGAAGCTCACATGCAAAAGTACATATTATCTCCTGGATTGCTGTCTCATTCTGTCTCTACCCTGCGTGTGTGCGCATGTGTATGTGCGTGCGTGTATGTGTGTGATTGCAACCAAAATGTCAAGCTGTTATATCAGAATAAAGAGGGAAGGGCCAAATGCACATACCACACTCGAAGCAAAATTGGGCTTCTTGTGCCGAAGAACAACTGGCTATTTTAGACCAAGTCACGTCTTAAGAAGCCAGGCTTCACTCTCCAGGGACTGGAGTGAAGACCACCTAGTCCTTCAAGGTCTAGCGCCTTGACTTGCAAGCAGATTGCTGGGAGTGGGCAGGGATGGGGGTGGGACGTGCTGGGGGACTAATGCCAGGAGCTGGAGAGAAAGCAAGAAGTCTTTGTCCTCAGTCTTCCCTCCCTTGAAACCCACTGCCCTGTGGGAGCCGCTCATAATTGATGACGTTGCTCTGCAACAGTAGGATTACTGAGGGCTGCTAATATTGATGAATGCCTTTTCGTTTTTATTGCACTTTCCAAGTATGCCAAAAACATTAAAAGTTCATAAAAGAAAATAACTTGGCTCCATCATGGCTGATCACATCCCTGAAAATGAGTCCTTGCTTACCACAAGCTTACCAGCCATCTGCGCTGGTGGGGACAATCTCATTTGTCACTATCTGTGGTCCCAGGTGCCTGGATGTTCCAGATAAACTTGGGTTTGGATATTAGCCCTTACCAAAGCAACACGGTTTCCTATTTGATTTCAGAAGTACTTTGGAAAAGAAAAGAAGTAGTCATTTGTAGATAAGATGCTTAAATTGTCAGCTATGAGTATTTGTTATATCAAGCAATATGGATTGGCCTCTTAAGCTTAAAATTTATCCCTTAAATAGGAGCCAGCTTAGAGCCATCAGCTAAAGCCAAGGCTTTCTACACTCAGAGTTCCTACTGCTATAGCCAACGGTACAGAGTTGATCCTCAAAAGCAGACAGGGTGCAAATGCTTTTATGCCTATCCATTTGAGGAGAAACGAACTCTAGACCCTTACTAAAGGATTGCAGTTTGGGTAGCTCCTCTTTAGTGAGAAAGAACCCATCTTTGGGCAGTTCTGGAAGCACTCCCTTGCACACCCAGCTCTCCCCCACCCCTGGGGCAGTGACTGGTTCTAGGCAGATGGGAAGTAGAGGAGAGCGCCACTTCTGAAGCCACTTCTGAACTGAAGTCACAGGTGGGACCGGCTGCATCAGTCACTGTAAGCAACCTTACTTAATGACAAGGAAGACTCGGGTAGTCCCTGGGTCCCTGTTGGACTGTGTGTGAACTGGAACCGAGACTTACGTCATCCTCTGGTGTCCGTCATTGCTTCTGAACACCGCACACACTGAAGACTACTCGTCCTTGTCCAGGGCAAGAGCAAACCCACAAATCACACACACACCATGGCCCTAGTGAACGCAAGGGGACACAGTAGACTTGTGCACTTTCTCTCGGGGGCTGGGGGCTGTGTTCTCCACGAGGGACCAGATCTGACTCACCATTCCCTGTTCCCAGGGGTGACTGACAACACACAAGGTCTAAAGTCTCATGATAACCCAATTTGGGAGCACCTGTCATTCACCACCCACGCTTGTGGAGGAAGCAGAGGCCGTGATGCCAGCAGCTCAACTTCATATTTAGTGTCATCCAATCTTGACTATTTACTTGCATAAAATGACTCTGATTTTCTTCATTTTAAACACGCATGAAAGTACATTTTGTGCTCCATGGAAGGAAGATGCATATTTTGGAAAAACATTGCTTTTATATATAAAAAAAAATATATATATGATATATATATCTCCCAGGTATACATATATTTATCTATAATACATATAGATATATATGTCTATATATCTCCTAGGTATACATGCATATCTATATCTATATCATCTATCGCCTAGGTAAAGTCTCCTCGAAGTCCTTCTCTTCCCAGCTTAGACCTTTTAAAACACACCCATGCTTCCCATGCTTTACACCATCACCATCAAGAGGCTAAATTATAAAGAAAACTAACCCTGACTTTGAGATAGATAGTAACATATAGGTGGATGGACCAGAGTCTTTGAAATTTCACCCAGGAGGGTGAGTAGGTTTAAACCTCTTTTGAGTGGAGCCTGATGCAGCCTTCTCTCAGAAAAAGAAACTCTCATTGGTATCCTAACCGTGAAACTGTAAATAAAGAATAATAAAACTTGATCACAGAAGGGAAGCACAGAGAACAGAGTGATTAATGTCCCCAGATTTCCTTGAGCGCAAAGGAATTGCAGTGAGTTGTAAAGTTTGAGCATGTGTGTAACTTTTTATTTTGCCCTGATGCATGATTCTGTTTGATAGCTCATGGCATGTAACACTTCACACCATTACATTCATTTGTAAATTAGATTTCAATCCAATGTGCTTCCAGGGAAGGAAATAAATGGCGTTAAGAATACGAAGCAAATCTCATAAAAGCAGAGTGTTTTATTTTCTGCTCCTCTACCACCCTCCTTTCCCTCTTCCTCCCCCACTTTCTTCCAGAGACAGAGTCACATGGAGCTGAGACTGGCTTTGGACTTGCTTTGTAGCTGGAGCTGACCTCGTCTGGTCCTCCTGCCTCCTCCTCTCCAGTGGCTGGGACCATGTGTGTTTACCACCATCTCTAGTTCTTTGTGATGCAGGGGATCAAATGCAGGGCTTCATGCATGCTAGCCAAGCACTCTCCCGACTATGTCCCTAGGCTCAGAACTTTGCATTTCAGATGGAAGCATATTTCGGAGAGATGAGTGCATGTTGCTATACTACACATGTCACCACAATCCTGGAGAGAGGAATAGTTCCCATCCTATAGCTGAGTGTACTGAGCCTTGAGAAAGTGGGAACAATCCCTGAATTTAGTCAATTGGTATTGCTAGGAAAGAGTGGAACCCATATACAGACCTGGCACAGTCCAGCCCAGAGTCCGTGTGCTTTCCCATTCTGCCAGACTGGCCATAGGAAGATGTCACGTTATAGCATCTTCTCGTCACATATACTCTAAGCACCTTCAAGTGGGGACAACATTGTCCACAGTGGGGCTAAAAGTCATTCTTGGAAAGATGTAGAAATCTTACCATTTCTATGAAGTACTACCATAGAGCAGAAATAGAAACATCCCATGTGCTGGTAGCACTGAAATTTCCAGGGGAGGGGGGGTCTTTTTGGGGAAATGCCTAACAACCTTCTTTCTAGTGGAAGTAACTTTATTTTTAAGGTGGAGTATTGTTGGGCAAAGGGAAAAAGGAAATCCTAACTCACCCAGGGGTGACTGTCCAGTGAATTAGCCAATCCACTTTTGGTGTGGTTCATAATAGGGCCCCTGGCACAACTTGTTCTTTCTGAATGTGGAAGTCTAGAAAGGGAACTGACTACTCCTAATAAGTAGAATCTATCACTAGGTTTCCCCCTCGATCTTCTATTCTTTAACTCCTCAGGATTCCCTGGTGGATTTGTCTCACACATAGGAATGGTAAAAAACCTTCAAGAAAATGAACAGGGGTTCCATTCCTCCAGCCCGCATGGATAGAACACCACTGAGGACAAAGACAGAGAGTCTCCATCTCTCCAGGTCATGGAGTCTATTGGACTAAGTCATAGGTACAATGTTCCAGTTGCTTGGGTGTCATAGGCACCAGGGTAGGGTAGTGTGACACCTTTTCAGAAAACAAAGTGAATCCTTCCATTAATGTGGCATTTGTAGCTGTCCACTTTGGAACTCAGGACTTCCACCCCATGACTCATACAGGGGGCAGTGATAGTGACTGCAATGGCAGAATTATTTTTTGATGCTTCCCTACTCCTGACAGAACACAGACAAGGCAAACACCTTTGGGAACTATGGCCTTATTTAGTTATCTTTGATAAAACACTGCAGAGCTAGGACCTCTGCAGGTCCACGCACACCAGAGTCTGAGACCTCCGAGTGAGTAGAGCAGAGCCAGACCAGGGACATTTACGGAAACAGGACTGAGCCAGCGACCTAGGCCAGAGCAGGCCTGAGACTCCACAGAAGCAGAACAAACCCCCAAAGCTCTGAGCGACCCTTATCCAAACTAATCAAAAGGCAGAGAGAGAGAA